AAAACATGTTTTAGGATTGCCGTCATTAAATGTTATAAAGATACCGCCTACAAAGCTTCTAAATTTCCTGATTTTTGACGTCACCGATCAAAAGAAGCGAGGAGGCGAGGGGCGGGAAAATCAAACGCCAAAAATAAAAAGGCGCGCGTGCGCGCGGGAAAATTTTTTTTCGCGATGCGGTTTTTTTTGCGTGTCTATGGCGGCAACTTGCATCGTTTTAGACAATAAAAATAAATACGACCTTTGGGGTGTCAGTGCCCCTTTAATAATGAAATGAGAAAGAGAACTTGCTCAAGTGCGAAGGCAAATACTCAGCGTGCCATACCACTATCCACAGAGCTGATAGTGGCATGGCACGCTGAGTAGCATGCCAGCTTGAGCTCCAGTTCTCGTATCGTTCTTGAAGGCGACGACTTGGTGAAGCCCATGGTAGTCAAACGTGCACTGGAAAGTAGCCGAGAGTTCCTCAGGTGTTTTTCTGTTGCCATGTGCTGAACGAGGTCGGCATGATGAGCGCGGAACTCGCACTTGCACAGTGCTTTTTTGTCGTCTTCGGTGTCTGGTCACAGCCAGTCCTGAAGCTGTCCATGTCGTATTACACCTGAGACTGCGGTGGAAGAAATCGGAAGAACTTTCAGTGGAAGGAACAAACACAGAGAACGTCTCAAACACAGCTCACACACAGCAAACAGAGCTGTGTTTGAGACGTTCTCTGTGTCTGTTCCTTCCACTGAACGTTCTTCCGATTTCTTCCACCGCAGTCTCAGGTGTAATACGACATGATTAGCTACCACCAGCTCGCCTGCACACTCACCGTCTTTTCACCTGAAGCTGTGTTTCCTTTTCCCACTCTTTACAATATATTTTGCCATACTTTGACCACTTCGAAGCCATTTTGCGCAAAATACAATGGCAACTAGACACCATGACCGCTACTGCCGACTGGCAAGATGGACAAGTTGCCAAAATATTTGTGAATGGATAGTAATATTTTTGTACTTTGTGACAGACGGTGGCTTGCGCCACCTAACCGCTGCGCCAAACGGTCACGCTGTTTTTCGCGTTTTTGACGACAAACGCGCTGTCAGTGAGCACGACGAGCACTAAAATAACAATATTTGCAGGATAAACGGGAATAAGCCCAAAAAACTCGACAAGCGGCTGGAAAAATCTACCAGCGACTCAGTGAAAAAAGAAGCCCAAATGCGCTTATAATAAGCGGAACTGGCCACCCTGTTCAAAATGCTTTCTTGCATAGCGTCCGCTACAGGATTCATTAGTGTCACGACACACATTTAAAATGTGAACTAAAGATATTCCCTACGAGTTACCGTCTTAACGCTTCTCCCACATGACCTAGCACGTGGTAGCAGAAGCAGACGAACGACGCGAGAAGGAGAGGTCACTTGCGGGCCGTAGCAGAACGGTGAGGGTCGGGACGGGAGAGAAAGGCGAGATTGGGATTAAGGCGCGTAACTACACTTTGAAAATGCTTGAAGGTCGAGACTCTACTGTTATAATGATATATTTACAATGATTTACTTTACACTAGTGAGAAGACATTAAATAATGGCAGTTGTGTTGATCCAGGCTTTGCCGCTTCCTCTTCTGTTGCGCGTCGTCCGTAAGGAAAGGAGCCTCTTTCTAACATTACGCCCCCCGGGACAAAACGGAGACTCGCAGTTTGATATTCTAAGTAAGGTTTCAGTCGGAGGACGTGCACAGCGTGTGCTCGCGTGTGCCACTTATCCTTAGAATGCTGGACAGATTCCACGACGTAATTGACGTCACATGTTCGAGTGAAAAAGCGATAAGAACCACAACAGCGGGGTAGGGATATCTCAGCACGTCCAGCTCGACGTTCTGGTGTCAAGATCAAAAATATGTGACCTGGGGAATATAACACTTTGCCGTGCGTGCTGTCGTAATGGGAACATTGCTGTTCTTGGGAGTCCAGAGCAGGGAGCCGTTACAATTGTCTGGCCTCTTCAGCACGTCGTATTGTGTCCGATGCGTGCTCTGTAAGCCTAGCTTTGGGGCTGTAGTGGAAAAAGTGTCGAACATGAGGGTGGGCTCACGGCCAAAATAAGACAGAAGGGAGAGTCGCTGGTGGTGTCATGGCGTGACGAATTTTAAGCGAAAGTTACGTAAGCTAGTGCTCAGTCCTATTTTCAGTGGTGACAGCAGATGTACATAGCAAGCATGTCGGCTAGTGTCCGAATAACATCATTGAAAGAAACCCTGTGACTGGGACAAATAAAAAAACCAAGAGCACGACACAGAATCTCGAACGCAGCTTAATTTATCCACAGGAGAACGTCAATAGATACCCCTCCTCACGAAAACACGAACAAAGAAAGAAAGAGGGAAAGAGACAACCCCAGGGACGTAGACAGAGAGACACCATCCCAACATAGACAGAAACACCGCCCTGAAACAAGACCGGTTCCCAAGGACCTGAGCGATAAGCTTCCTCGGGGCCGTGAGAGCCAGCCCACACATAAAATAAGCTCCCCCGCCCTGCCTGCCGAGCCAGCCCACACATATTTTATGTGTGGGCCGGCTCGCGGGCTCGCTGGGCTGGAAGGATAGGGGGCCCTATTGAAAAATCCGGCGAAAACTTCCAGTGACATACGGTGGAGACGGGTTAATTTCCACTCATTTTCACCAGAAACCAGCCTAGTTTACCAGTTCTTTTGTGGAAATATTACCGGCCGCCACCTCCAGTAACCAGATTTCGCTGGACCTTTTACCGGAGCCACTTACGGTTAAAATCCGGGAAAAACCTCCAGTTAGATTCGGTGAAAACGGGTTAATTTCCACTCATTTTCACCAGAAACCAGCGAAGCCACTTTCGCTGGAAGTTATATACCAGAGCCACTTTCGATTACCCGCCGCTAGAATCCTACCGGAAACCACTCTCGTTTGCCGGACACCGAACATCACTGGAAGCCGACGCAGGGCGAACGGCTAAAGTCAAGGAAGCCTAGACGAGCGGGGGGATTGTGTTTGTAATGAAGGCCGCCAATGCAGCGGCATTCTCGTGAGTGGGTGTTTAAGCTCGAAACGACGTTGCAATTCTGCAGGAAGTGCGTGCAGCGAACTGCTTTGACGATCCAAAATGGAGGGCACTTTCACCCGTTTTCATCCCAAACCAGTTTACTATGTCGTTAGTAGATTGTTTGCCGGCAAACAGATTTCACTGGAATGTCACCGGCCGCCCCTTTCGTATACCACGCAGACGACCCGGTTTTCCTAGAAATCTTACCCGAAACGGGTGACTCGCTTCCCTGTTTACCGACCGTCACTCGAAGCCGACGCGAGGGGAGGGGGAAGCCAGACGAGCCGGAGACTGGGCGTGTAATTATGGTGCCTCGCACCAAAAACGAGTCCCCACGCACCCTCTCTCCCTCGCATTGGGTCCGTGGGGAAAATGCAAGAGGGTCGTTTGTTGACTTATTTTTTTTAAAGAAAACCGGTTTCTTTGTCCGTCAACGAGCAGCGGCCGGCCAGGAGCGAACGCTGAGTCTCGGCTTCTCGTTCCATGTGTGCGACCTGTATCTTCCAAAGCAGCTGGGTGTTGTTAAGAATGGAATCTTCGGCGACCTTCTTCCGAGTTTCAACGCTGCGGAAACGAGTCAAGACGAGTCCGGGACCGTCGCCCGCTTGTCAGGGCCTGCGCGAAACGAGTCCCGACGAGTCCGGGACCGTCGCCTGCGTGACGGGGCCTGCGGCTACAAGTCTCAACGCGCCCGTGACGTTAACGGGACGTGTGTGTGTGTGTGGTGGTTGGTGCGCTCGGGAAAGGGAGAGAGGCATGGCCTAACTGCGGATAACTTTGGCTACGTCGCACTGGTCGGCGAACTTTGCTGCATCGCACTTGACGGCGGGTTGCTGCATCGCACTGGCTGCCCTGGCGAGGAGTGAGGGAGAAACGGACCCTATATAAGGCGGAGCGCGAGGCTGCTCCGTTGTTCTCTCGGATTTGACGACTGTATCGCTACCATGTAATTAAACCGTTCGTTACGTTACCAAGTCTCCCACCTCCACTGAACCCCTGGGTTCCCCACTTCGGGGAATGGACGTCGTCTCGAGCCAGGAATCTTCCGGACGTGCGGCCTAAACCCCGCCTCGAACAATTGGTTGGCAGCGGTTGGGATCGGACCATGCGACATCGTGCTACATCTGTGGGTGAGCGTTTGGACTTTGCTTTGAGATTCGCCAGGCTTCAGATTATGGGTAATTAATTTTGAACTGCTGGGAATCCTTAGTTTGGACTCGTGCGCTAGGTTTTTGTACGACCTCGCGACAAGTTTTAGAACAAAGCCAAAGCTAAGAAGCAGCGATCATGGATCTAATGAGGTTACTGAGAACAGATTTACTCTGTTTATGTGAAGAATTGGGTGTGGAGGTGGAGCAAAAGATGAAGAAATCTGAGATCAGTAAAGCAATTTCAGAGAGCGCGGAAGCAGAGGATATTAAAATTGCGTGGGAATTACTTCAGAACGCTAAAAGTGAGGCTGCAGCAAGAGAGGAACGAGCGCAGGCTGCAGCAAGAGAGGAACGAGCGCAGGCTGCAGCGAAAGAGGAACGAGAACAGGAGCAGGCTGCAGCAAGAGAGGAACGAGCGCAGGCTGCAGCGAGAGAGGAACGAGCGCAGGCTGCAGCGGCAGAGGAACGAGCGCTAAAAAGGCTAGAGCTCGAAATTGAACAACAGCGATTAAACTCGCAGAACAGTAGAGTTGGGGCTCCTGTACGAGCCAGTGAGGCCGAGTCGTATCAAATGAAGAAGCTCCTGCAGCCGTTTAAAGTTGGGGAAGACGTGGGCCTATTCTTAGTTAACTTTGAGAGGACATGTGAGAAGTTGAGCTTCGCCCCAGAAACGTGGCCGCAACGGCTTTTGACTTTGTTGCCCTGTGAGGCTGCAGAGGTTGTCGCGCGCCTTAGTACTAGAGACGCGGACGACTACGACAAGGTGAAGTCGAGCCTTTTGAAGCGGTATCGCCTTTCTGCCGAGGCGTTCCGTCAAAGGTTTAGAAACGCATCCAAAAAGAGCAGCGAGGGCTACTCGGAATTCGCGTACGCGCTTAAAACCAACTTGATAGAATGGTTGAAGAGCGAGGAAGTATACGAAAGCCGCGACAAGGTAGTCGAGTGTGTGTGCCTCGAACAGTTCTTTCGTAGCATTCCGCAGTCAGTCAAGCTCTGGGTGCAGGATAGGGTGGGAGTCGACTCTGTCGAAAGGGCCGCTGAGCTAGCCGAAGAGTACGCGACGCGTAGAAAGCTGAGCGGAGAGGAAAGCGAACCAGGCCGGAGCGATCGCGCTGTACGTAAGCCCTTCCAACACCAACAGGGAAACGGCTCGCGAGATAAAAAGTCCGAGAAGCCCGAAACAGAAAAAAAGGTCCCCGAAAAGAAAGCAGATCACTCGAACGGAGACGAGGCGCAGAAAAACCAAAGAAAGCAGTTCGAGGCAAGGAAGCCGCTCCTGTGCTACAACTGTCAGGAGCCGGGGCACATAGCGGCCAGATGTAACAAACCGCGGGTTGTGTTCTCGTACGTGAACGGTAGTGACGAGAACCTGAAGCTTCTTCGTCCCTATCTTCACGAGCTCCAGGTAAACGGAAAGCCGTGCAGGGTGCTTCGGGACAGTGCAGCGACGATGAACGTTGTTCATCCGTCGTATGTAACTGCATCCGACTTTACTGGAGAGGTAGCTTGGATCAAGCAGGTGTTCGAAGAGCACAGTGTCTGTCTGCCTATGGCGAGAGTAAAGATAACTGGCCCGTTCGGAGAACTAGTGACAGAGGCGGCTGTCTCGCAAACAGTCCCGTCGGAGTATCCCTATTTGTTCTCTAACCGGTCAGATTTCTTGCTGCGCGAAAGGGGTCAACAGCTGGGAGAAGGACTGGTTCAGGCGTTGACGAGGTCCAAATCGCGTCAGCTTGCCCCTTTGTTGACCAGTAAGCCAGAGCCAGAAGCAGCTAAAGGGGAGCAAGCACTCCCAGAGTTGGAGGCAGAGAAACGGGATGAGGGGGACCAGGTTGTAGAACAGCCCGACCTCGTAGCACCAGAAAGCGTACGAGGCCCCAACGCGTCGGCGCAGGAGGCGGAGGAAGACAGGGTCGTTGAGGGGTCTCTCTTAGCTCCGACCTCACGTAATTTTGATCGCCTGTTGCGGGTGGTCCGAGCGTCTCTGACAGCCGAGCAGAAGAGCGACCCTAGCCTGTCAAGATTGCACGATACAGCCAAGGAGGGTATTGCTAGGGCCAATGTAACGGTGCATGAAAAAGACGGATTGTTGTATCGGCACTACAAGGACCGCAAAGGTAGGGTCTTAGATCAGTTGGTTGTTCCGACAAAGTACCGTGATGACCTTCTGAGTCTTTGCCACGGAAATTGCTGGTCAGGTCATCTAGGTGTGAACAAAACGAAAGAAAGGTTGCTGGGAGAGTATTACTGGCCGGGGTGCTTCAAAGACGTAGAGCGCTACGTAAAGTCGTGTGATGCATGCTAGCGAGTCGGGAAACCGGGAGAGAAATGGAAAGCTCCATTAAAACTCGTCCCGCTGATCTCGGAGCCATTTCGTCGACTTGTGATCGACACAGTTGGCCCATTGCCCAGAACTAAGTCAGGCTATAAGTACCTGCTCACCATGATCTGCCCGGCAACCAAATTTCCAGACGCGATTCCTCTGAAGGAACTCAGCTCGTCGGAGATAGTCGACGCTCTGTTGACGGTTTTCGCGCGGATCGGATTTCCCGCGGAAATTCAGGCTGACCAGGGCACAGTTTTCACAAGCGCATTAACGACCACGTTTTTGCAGAGGTGTGGGGTGAGGCTGATACACAGTTCCGTGTATCACCCTCAGTCCAACAGCGTGGAGAAATGGCACTCTGTGCTCAAGAGAGTGTTACGCGCGTTGTGTCACGAACACAAAGAGGACTGGGAAAGCTGTCTCCCAGCAACTATGTTCGCTCTGAGAACTGTGCCTCATGAAGCCACTGGTTTCACGCCGGCCGAGTTGGTCTACGGGAGAGCCCTTCGCTCTCCGCTTCGAATGCTGAGAGAAATGTGGGAAGGGACGGGAGAAAACCAAACGGTTGTAGACTATGTGTTGGAGTTGCTGGAACGGCTAAGTGTTACGCGTGAACTAGTGGACAAAAACATGAAAGCGGCTCAAGAAACCGCTAAAGTGTACTATGACAGGAACGCACGACTCCGAACCTTTGAGGTTGGTGATCGTGTAATGATTCTTAGAACGGCGCGAAAGAACAAACTTGAAGTTCACTGGGAGGGGCCCGTAGAGGTCATTGACAAGCTGTCGCAAACTAACTATGCGCTGAAAATGCCAGGACATCGAAAACAGGTGAAAATCTATCACTGCAACCTGACGAAACCGTTCGTTGAAAGACAGGGTGTCGTTAACCTAACGTTAAACATGCCCGAGGAGCTACCTACCGAAATTCCAGAATGGAACGGAATCAGCCCAGGCGCTGAAAGCAGTGTGGATGAAATCATGGCACGTTGCGTGAACGCAGAGCTTCTTGACCAAGCGCAGGTAGATGATCTAAAAGTACTCTTAAACGAGTTTAGCGACACTTTCAGTGATCGACCGGGAAGGACAGACCTCATGACTCATGAGATAGAGCTCATTTCAACCGAGCCAGTCAGGTCCAAGGCGTACAGGGTGTCGCCTCGTCAGAAGGAGATCATCGAGGCTGAGATAAAGCACATGCTGGATCTTGGGGTAATCGAGCCCGCCGAAAGCGACTACGCGTCGCCCTTGATTCGCGTCGAGGCTCCCGGTAAAGACCCCCGGCCATGTGTGGATTACAGGAAGCTAAACGCAATCACAAAGGACCAGCTATATCCTATTCCTAACATTGAGGAGAGGTTAGAAAGGGTAAGCGCCGCGAGGTACATTTCGACACTCGATCTCGTACGCGGTTATTGGCAGGTTCCTTTGTCGGAAAGTGCGAGCCGGTACGCCGCGTTCATTTCTCCGGTGGGGACTTTCCGGCCTCTCGTACTGAGCTTCGGGCTCAAGAACGCGCCATTCAGCTTCTCGAAATTGATGGACAAAGTCCTGAAATGTATGGACGGTTTTGCGCTTCCTTATTTAGATGATGTCGCGATATTTTCCGACACGTGGGAGGAGCATATCGTCCACCTAAGAAGCGTGTTCACTAGGTTGCGTGACGCGGGGCTAACCATGAAGGCCAAAAAGTGCAATCTTGGTTGTTCCCATGTGAGTTACCTGGGTCATGTTGTTGGCCAGGGAACGAGGCGGCCTTCGGAGCTCAAGATTGCTCCGATTGCCGACTTTCCGACACCCCGGACAAAGACTGACATTCGCTCGTTCCTGGGACTCGTCGGGTATTACCAGCGCTACATACCCAACTATTCCCAGGTAGCAAGCCCCTTGACTGATGCACTCCGAAAGGGAGAGCCGGGTAACGTAGTTTGGGACGCGGCGAAGGAAAGCGCGTTTCAAAGTTTAAAGGGGGCGCTGATTTCCGGTCCCGTGCTTCGTGCACCGGATTACGACAAAGAGTTCATAGTGCAATGTGACGCTAGTGACAGAGGGCTGGGAGTGGTGTTAAGTCAGCTGGGAGATGACCAGGAAGAACATCCAATTTTGTACGCTAGTCGTAAACTAACCGTGAGAGAGGAGGCTTACTGCGCCTCTGAAAAGGAGTGCGCTTGTTTGGTGTGGGCGGCACTGAAGTTGTCGTGCTACCTGTATGGGGCGAAGTTCACCTTCGAGACCGATCATTGTCCCCTTACGTGGCTTCGCCAAATGTCGCCCAAAAATGGCCGCTTGCTCCGATGGAGTCTCACTCTCCAGCAATATAACTTCAGCGTCAGGTACAAGAAAGGTAAATTGAACGGCAATGCCGATGGGTTGAGCAGATTTTTCTGATATCACCAAAAACAGTAGGGATATGATCTCAGAGGTTTTCGTCATCCACGGGAATGAGGATCAAAGTGGGGAAACTTCGTTAAAACCCCAAAATGACCTCACAAATTGCGAAGTTTTGTCTTTTTGTATTTTGTTCATAGTGACCTCTTTGGAAAAATGAGTTTTGCTTTGGCGACAGCGGGTCTCGATACCCGAAATCGTCCTAAGGTTTTAAATTGCATTGTTTTGGCAAATTTTGGTAATCCGTAATCCAGTCTGGCGGGTCTCTGGCGGATTCCGAGCGTTTGACTGCGGTGTGGCGTGGTGTTGTGGGGGACGTTTCCGCTGATGCCTCCGTTGTGAGAGGTTTGGGAGTTTGCTTAGTGCTTGCAGCATCTTCTCAAGGCCTACTCCAAGCCCACCTCTTCAGGCGAGCGATAGTATCACCGGCCATTCGAGGTTTCCCTGGCCCCGGAGGGGCTGTTCAGAATGGAATCTTCGGCGACCTTCTTCCGAGTTTCAACGCTGCGGAAACGAGTCAAGACGAGTCCGGGACCGTCGCCCGCTTGTCAGGGCCTGCGCGAAACGAGTCCCGACGAGTCCGGGACCGTCGCCTGCGTGACAGGGCCTGCGGCAACAAGTCTCAACGCGCCCGTGACGTTAGCGGGACGTGTGTGTGTGTGTGGTGGTTGGTGCGCTCGGGAAAGGGAGAGAGGCATGGCCTAACTACGGATAACTTTGGCTACGTCGCACTGGTCGGCGAACTTTGCTGCATCGCACTTGACGGCGGGTTGCTGCATCGCACTGGCTGCCCTGGCGAGGAGTGAGGGAGAAACGGACCCTATATAAGGCGGAGCGCGAGGCTGCTCCGTTGTTCTCTCGGATTTGACGACTGTATCGCTACCATGTAATTAAACCGTTCGTTACGTTACCAAGTCTCCCACCTCCACTGAACCCCTGGGTTCCCCACTTCGGGGAATGGACGTCGTCTCGAGCCAGGAATCTTCTGGACGTGCGGCCTAAACCCCGCCTCGAACAGTGTGCAGATGAAAATAATTTCTTTTTCAGTGACCTGTTTCTTACGCCTCTTTGTCCGTCCGTCTTCAGAAGCATCCGGCGAGCGAAAAAGAATGTGCCCAAGATTTCTCAACGTCGGCGGATGCTCGTTTCGCGCGTTCGTGGCTTTCGCTAAGCGTGCTACTGACGCCTGGTGCGGCGACGGCATCAGGGACGACATCGTGAGTGTGACCGGGATTTCTCAACGGGGGCGGATGTTCGCTCCGCGCGTCCGTAGTTTTAGCTAAACATGCTGCTGACAGTATACCTGTGTGTGTCCGTGTGGTGCACCTGCGCAGTTTTATTAGCGGAACTACCGTGCGTCAGGAATTTACCCAGCGGCATTGTGAGTACCTTGAAAGATATCTTTTGCGGCAAAGAACTTGGCTGTTCCTATTTGGTCTGATTGCTTTTGTCTACAGCTGTGCAAATCGTTTCTCTGGTATCGACCCTGTTAAATAAATACATAGGACCTTCAGGTCTATATGAACTAACCACTTTAATAGTTACCGAATCGTTCAGCATCAGGTAAACATAACCAACCACGTTTCACAGGCTTCCTTCAAAGTGACTTCCGCTAGCGTCCAAAAAAAGAAAGAAAAAACACGGTAAATTCCGGTCAATCTGGCGATCTTCTGGCTTTACTGGAAGTGAAAAAAGTCCCATATTCCAGTAAAATAGATTTTTACTGGAATTAACTTTCGGTAAAAATCCGGTGACATTCTAATAAAATATCTGGTGGTATTCCGGTAAGAATCCGGTGACATTCCAGTAATGCAACCGGTGACATTCCAGTAAACTACGGCATTACTGGAAGTGAAAACAGTCCCATAATTCAGTGAAATAGGCTTTTACTGGAAATGACATTCCGGTGAAAAAATATCTTCTAATCGGGGGCTCCTTGGAGGTTGTCTCTTTCCTATATCCTTTTTTTCCTTCTTTCATGTGGACGGATATTTAATGGTATTGTCCTGTGATTAAACTCAGCTGCGTTTGAGATTCTGGGTCGTGCTGTTCGTTTTTTTTTTTTTTTTGTGTGTCCCAGTCTCAGGTTACCTTTTAATGATGTTCCTAACCAGCTCGCCTGTGTACTTTCCCTCCTTGCACTCCTATTAAGGCGTTCTACCGCCCCCTTTTTTTTGCTGGTGGTAAGCAGTAGTTTCCTTTTAAACAAAAGAAGCGCAAAATTTCGCTCAAAACGCGAGATACAAAGGGCCGTCCCCGGTCAGAAGGAAGTTCTCCAGGCGCTCTGTTCTTAAGAATGATGTCTTCTAGAAAAAAAACAAAAAAAACTTGGCAACATCAACAGGTCTAACGGTCATAAGAGGCTTCGTGGTCGCGGAGTGTGTGGTGTAATCGGCAGCGGCTCCGATCCAGGGGTGACCATCTCAGGAAGTTGGGAATGGCCCAAGAAGATCAACTCCTACGCAGTGGAACGGGTGTTCTGGTGGTTGGCGAAGTTGGAGAAGTCCATTGGGACGTGAAGATGGCGTCTTTCGGCGCTGGCAGAAACCACATGAAGAGACATAGCGCTTCTCAAATCTGTACAGGGTCGGCTAGTAATATCGTCGCTTAACTCAAGCATATGTTCTAACACCTAAGTAGGCGGATGATGAAGCATCATGAAAGTCAGCGAGAAAGATAATTTGTTTGTGTTTAGGTATTCCTAGAAGCGAAGGAAGCTTGGCCGATTGGAAATGTTTGTCTGCGGAGAACGCCGTGTATGATAAAGTACAGGCCACAAGAGGATTTAGTTTTGCTCGTGGTCACATCTTGAAAAATTGCCCGCAGACCTCTATCTTTGCGCTGTTCGTGGCCAATGTCGAGGACGGTTGATACAGAAAGAACATGAATGTCATGGTCATAGTTGATGGGGTGAACCGGGTCCACAGGGTGACGGTAGAGGCACTCTGCGTCCTGGTGGAGCTGTCCAGATTTGTAAATAACGATGAAATTGTACCCTTGGAGTCTAAGGGCCAAACCTCCAAGTCGACCAACAAGGCATGTTGGTTAGTAATGACGGAGGACGGGCGACCGAACAGGTAAGAGCGACATTTTGTGACTGCTCGGACGACAACCAGACACTCTCGGTCAGTGATTCTGTAATTTTTTTCAGCTGAGTAAAGCGCGCGACTAGCGTAAGCAATCATTTGGTTGTGTTTTGCGTGATTTTGAGACAGAATAGCGCCTATTCTGTGGCCACTGGCATCAGTCCGTAAGACCGTAACTTGGCGGTTGTAAAGTCATCACAATGGCCTAAAATGGGGCTGGACGTTAGAGCGATTTTCATGTGTTTGAACGCGTCAGCTTGGCGGGGCTGCTAAATAAAAGTCGCACATATTTTTAGTAGCCCTTTATATTAACCGTGAAATGTATGCAAAATTTTATATAATTCGCTCGAAATATTAACACAGTCCTATAAAGCTTCGTAGGTCTTTAGATGAGCTTGGTTTTGGGAATTCGTAGACAGCTTTAACCTTATCGGGGTGTGGTTGGAAACCATCTTTATCTATTAGATGGCCCAAAATTTTTATGTGACAACTGCAGAAGCGGCAATTTGAAGAGTTCGAATTGCAGACCAGCATTAGGGAAAGTTACCCGGTTCTTCTGCCAAGCGGGTCAGACGGGATGAAAATCTGCTTGAAAACCTAATTGCGTAGTCGAGATAACCAAGACAGGTTGACCATTTTAAGCCTTTCAAAATACAGTCCGTCATTATTTTGAAGATAACGGGGGCGTTGTTAAGACCAAACGGCATAACTTTAAATTCGTAGAGGCCATGTAGAGTTAAAGAAAGCTTTTTTCCTAGACTGATTCGGCGACATTAATTTGCCAGTACAC